GTAATAGTACAAAGTTGCTTTTTTTCTTCATATGTGTATTTCAGGTTAATGATATTTTGCTTGATTATTGCCCTGATACTAAAGTACTTTTCCCTAAATTCATACTGCTAATATCTCAAAGGGAAAAAAAAACATTGTGCTTTGAATCACATATCATTGTTGTGTCCTAGTGATGTTTAGAAGCTTTTGTTTACACGTTAATGCTTTAAAGAAATGTAGAGGAATTAAGTTTGAATGAAAAGTTCTGTCATGCAACATTAAACTACTCAGAAGGAACAAGTTTTTTGCATTGATTACTTTGTATAGATTGCTTCATTTTAAAGTAAATAACCACGTAGTAGTTGTTCTATGCAAACACTTGGACATAATTTATAGGAAGCTATGCAATTAAGAACATTTTATTTACCCAACTTCACTATAAATTTATAGTGAAATAAATATAGAAATAGGTTGTTCATGGTAAGGCCTTTCTGAGAATAAGCATTGGAAGATCTGAGTGAAAGCTGAAAACCTGGACATTGAATAATAACTCTAGTGGTGAAATTCCGATGGCCTTTTTGTCACAAATTATTAGCGGTTATTGGCACTGCTCACTCTCAATATGGATGTCAGGATCTGAAAACCATCTGCAACGGCCAACAGAACACTAGCAATCTGACTTATTTTTGAAAATTTTTGTCTGGGATCTTACATTGCAGGTGTTAACTGAAAGTTCATTTCTGTCTGAGAAATGAATGTACGTCAGCTGCTGAACTAATCCAGGAAAAAACAGCAGGTGCTTCTTGCACATTTTGCCTGTGATTCTAACCCTGCCCCGTTAGCAGCAGATCTTTGGATCATGGGTATTCTGACCAGTCTCTTTTCGCTATTTGGTGACCAGTCCTTCTTTTCCTAGGCATGCATCAAAACCAAAAATACCAAAATGACCCCTTTTCATATTCTACATATAGGAGTTAGATCCTGTATTTGCTTGGTATGCTTCATCTCTCAGTGATGTAGAGAGAAGGAAATAGGCACGCTGGCGGAACAATGCAAATATTGGGATTAACAGCAATCCTTTCCTTAGAGTAAAGTAGAAGTAACTTTTGAGGGTGTGGAATAGTGCAATCAGTAATGATTTCTTGTAAAAAAAATCTGAGCTCTTATTAAACTTAGGAAAAATCTAAGCCTCCAAAGATCTGTAGAACAGTCATTTACAACTTTGAATGTCTTTCTAAATGGTACCCTCTACATCAGTTACCAACAAGCATTTTTGTCTAACAGGAGATATTAAAGATGCTGCCTGGAGTTTTTGAAAACTGATAAAAACAGTTCTGAGAAAAAGGTATGACCTGCATCCATCAAGGCAGCATTTAACTGCCTATATTACTTGACATCCAAAGAACAAAGGTTTGCAAAAGAGAGACTGATAAGGTACTAATACCTTCATGCAGACTACATCTTCTGGGAGTGTGCCAGAATTTGTGTGGGAGAAGGCAGAAGACAGACAATATAGATTGTTGTATTTTTCATCAAGTGATTAGTAGCATCTGTATATATTTTATGTGTGCCTTTTGAGAGGCAAGGAGTGTAACTTAGATCCCCCTAGGCTTTGTTCTCTGCCTCTACACCTACTATTTGGCATAAGATGTAGCCAGTAGAAGAAAACTAAGGTTGTTGGGACTTTTTTCTTGTCTTAGTTGCAACAGCTGCAAAACAGATGTAGGCTGACATGCATTCTGCCAAAAATCTCTTCCAAGTCTCCCTCCCATTATCCACCAAAGTGAAGCTAGTCAGGTGATATGAACAGAGACCTGAAGGTCAGAAAGAGATGGGAGTTCCCAATCCTAGCTCTATAGAGACTGTTAAAAAGAAACAATCAGAAAACCTAGATTTACTGTTTTGGAAATTTAAACAACAAAAACTTCTAAAATTACTATTCCAAGTAGTATGGTATCAATAGGAAATAAAAGGCAATCTGTACATGAACCACAGCAACACTACAGCAGAGAAAGATGACAGCAAGAGTTCACCTAACTGGCATCCATCTAAGTCTCTTTTTAGATATATTTTCAATATCTCAAATGCATTAAGTAAAATAACATTGTCTTGCTGGCCAGATCTTTGCTGAAACAGATTTCCTAGGATTCCAGTTGTTCTGTTGTGTGAACCTCAGTATTGAGAGGGAGTCAGCTTTCTGTGTACTTGTCTCAGGTTTCTGCGTACCTCTCCAACTTCTGTTTTCAGCAATATTTGAATATATAACATGTTTTTTTCAGAGTATCTTGACCATTATAAATGCATTCAATGACATTCACAACAAATAAACAAAAGCCTGAAACTTTCCCACTGTGTCAGCCTGCTGATGAAATCATACTGCTGACAAATCTGTGGTTGCCAGGCACTTACAATCCAGCATTGACTTAAAGGTAGTATCCAGCAATGGCAGAAATGTCTAAATAACGAACTGCCCAAGCATGCTTATATTTGCACAGGATCTGTGTGGGCTAACATTGCTAGCAGTGCTGAATCATCTGTGCTGGCAAAGATGAAGGACAAATGCTACTCATGTAGTTATATTTGCTCCTCCTTACATCAGTATCCCAGGAACCTGAAATTTAGATGCAAACCACATTTGTAAATAGGGAACTCAGAACCATGAGTATTAACCTGAACAAACCTTGGCTCCTTATGGTTTTACTGGCTGTACAGTAATTCTGTTCTCCTCATGGAACCACCTGCTTGCAGAAAATTTGCTTGTGTTATAAGTCTCAGTCACGTACAAAGATCAGTATACTCCTGAGAGACATGTGGGTGGGTACTCTTGAAGTTTTTCCCTTTGACCATTCATGATAGCAGGTTTTACACCCTTGACCCCACTTTCTGTTGCATTTCCAGACTTATGTCTTCATTTCTAGTATTTAATTTTCAATATGGTGTCAGTGTTACCTGTAGGTGCACTACTTTTATTTAAGGTCACAACCTTTAGTTTGGAAACCAGTGAGCCATGGATCTTTCTTACAGCAAGTACTGACATGGGAAGACTTCTTGGCTCATGGCCTCACACAGGCACAGGCTTACCAAGACAGTTAAGAGGACTTTAGCTATGACTTGCATGCAATACATTTTTGCGTTGTACTGCAAATAAGGAGTATGCACACCCACCTGCATTCAAACACGTATGAAACACATCTGGTGGTATAAGAACAGTAAATCCGAATGCTAAGAAAAATGATTTAGGTATCTCTCTTCAGTGATTCATTGGAATGCTGATATAGGGGTTTAAGTATTTAAGTTCGGATCATCTACATAGTATTTGGACCTCATAATGAGGCAGCAGATGAGGAAAAGCAACGTGCATGTTCCTGCAATAGAAAAATGTGGAGGGAAGTTATAGTGACTCTAGTTTGCCAACTAGTATGAAGGAAGAAATGTCAACTTCTAGGTTTAAGGTGGCTTTGATCTGTTAAGTTTTCTATGTTGACTTTGGATAATGGACCTTGGGCCCATGCTGTAATCAATGGGTGTGCCATCTAATGGGGTCCTATCCTAGAAAATCCCTACTCGAATTGTGGCAGAACAGCTCCCAAACCCACTCAACAACTTTGGTGGATACCCTCAGTCATACAACCAGCACTGCACTGCACATTTGAAGCAAAGTTCTGTGTGTCATGTCAGCAAAAGTTAAGAGGTTTACTGATTTGAAGTCATTAGCTTTACAACATTTTAAATTAATGACTATAGCACTGAGTCAAGCATCAACAGTTCTCAATAAAAAAAAAAAGTTCCCTTCCAAGCAACAGAGTGACTGACAAAAAGTGAAAACCTCTTTATACCTTTACAAAACGTACATAGTTGACTGTAGTTTTGACACCAGACTCACTGGCCAGTTGGACAGTCACAGGCATGTCAATGATTCATCTGACACAGAGTCCCAGGGAGTGATTTCTTGTAGGCCTGTTCATTTGGATGTTGATGCAGGTTTCTATTTAAATCAGCAGCTGAAGTGTGAATTAATCTGTGACATTTTTAAGATCGTTCATGAGGCCAGAATTTGACTAATGATACTCCTACTGATCTCCTGCTAATTTTAGATTTATAGGTGTTGTATCATACTCAAACTTATAAATGTCTGGTCCTTTTTTTAAAAAAAAATTTCTTTCCACTCCCTCTGTTTTCTGTATTTTTTTTCTGTTTTTTTACAGTTTGGTCTCTTTTCATCTATTTAAACAGACTTCACTGACAGCAACAGAATGACTGTCTCTGAGTGCAATAGTTTGCCTCAGGACCAAATGTACCTGTTTCTGAGAGTAAAAGGAATCAGGAGGGTGGTAATGAAACTTTCAGCAAAGCTCCTCTGATTGTGGCCAAAGTATTCCATAGGCAATGAGCTGTAGTGGTAGCAAATTTCCTATACTGGTAACAGCTGTGGCATAACCTCCCTACCTTCACTGTGACATAATTAGGAAGAGATCCCATTATCACATGGGATGTGCTCACTGATTTCTTTTTGATGTGTGTTGAACTTTCTGAGCTTTGTCTGTTACCTTTCCCTGCAAGTGTAACTGGATTAAACCTTAAAATGTATTCTTTAAAACAGAGGTTTGGCTTAAGGTATTACTGAAACAATCGGAGAGAGAGATTCTTGAAGTATTACTCATTAAGACTCTAATCAAATGATACACATCCTGTACTGATTGGATGCACTGAGAGTTGCCAGAAGTGGGAAGTAGTTGAAGCTTTGCAGAAATTTTACAGAGAACTCTTAAGAAATGAAACACTGGAAGATTTTAAGCTAAAGTTTGACGTGCATGAATGGAAGCAGCAGCTCACATCTGTCAGAATTACTGCTGCTTTCCTGATTTACAGTGGCGAATCCATATGCATGAAAGCACGAGTGTGTTTCTGAGAGAAGAAAGTTTGAAGAATGTAACTTAAGCATGTTGTTATCTTTGGGCTTGTTTCCTATTTAGCTGTACACTTGTCATTACTTCCATTTTTTCGTCTTTTTTTTTTTTCAGATTCCCAAGAAGGAAACTACAAGTCAGAGGTCAACAGTAAACCCAGGAAGGAAAGAACAGCTTTCACCAAGGAGCAAATCAGAGAGCTAGAAGCAGAGTTTGCTCATCATAACTATTTGACCAGGCTGAGGCGATATGAGATAGCAGTAAACCTTGACCTCACTGAAAGACAGGTACTGATGCAAAATAATGGATTTAAAATGCTTGCCCAGTATTTACCAGTGGTTAGTAGCTCCTCACAGTAGAGCTGTTGTTTACGTTACTAATCAATATGTTGATATATCACATTGAATGTTTATAGCAAAATAATATACATTTATTATCTATATCCTATGCAAGTGATTTATATTTTTATATATACCAGCTACCGATTAGTTTCATCTAGTAGGCAGAGATGGAAGACAAAAGCATGAGTAATATATCTGTTAAACCGGTGCACATCTTTTCTAATCTATCCACACTGATGTGGCTGAAGAAGTGGTAGGTCCCAAATACTGCATGCTCAAGCAGTTGATTTGCTTGCATGCAACAAATATAAGCATCTTGTTTTAGTCTATTAAATATATGCAGTTGCCATTTGTTTCTGAACGTCCTGTTTCCAGATGGCAGCAAGAATGAGAACACCAGCAAAACTGGAATACAGGCATTTTTAATCACTCTATCTTAGCCTGCGCTGTGAAAGCAGAGGAGACGATAGAATTTCTTATCACTGTTACTGGTTTCCTGCTCACCAAACCCTGGTCTGGGAAGCACTTCTGCACGTGCTGAAGTTTCATCATGCATGTTGTCACATTGATTTCTAATGGAAATATTCATGTTAAGCATGTACAAAGTGTTTCAGGATCTCATCCCAACACACTAAATAGGTAGTAAAGTCACATTTCAAATAATAATTACATCAACATACACATTTAAAAAATGTGTTTTAGTAAAGACATTTAGAATACCGGACTCAGGTACACCAAATCTGATGAAATATTACCTACAGTTTTATCATTAAAATTGAAAGGTTTTGCCCACTGATAGTCATCCTTTCCTCAGGAATCAGTATTAAATTGAGGGATTGCTTTAGATACAATCAGTAAGATGATGATATATTCAAGGGAAGGTATCAAAATAACACCATGATTTGTGAACTCTAGATATGAGAAGTTTTGCAATTTTCTTGAGTTTCATTAAAACCTGCTATAAGTAGAAATCTCAGTGAAAATCCAGCCTTTTCTATACATATGAGCACACATTTACTCCCACAAGCAAATGAAACAGTTTTTTTCTTTGAAGCCTTCTAGAGAATGGCTGTCCCTTCTAGTTTGTCAAGAAGAAGCCAGTAATTTCTCTTGTTTGACTTGAACACATTGCCAGGTTCCAATGGGGTAATTTTCAATTACTTAAATGTGTTCATGATATTTGTAAAGCATACCATTTTGTATCAAACAAATGATAAAATTTTGTCTTTTTCATTTCCACTGACTAAGGTAAGCCAAGACAATTAGATTAACTTCCACACCTGATTTTGACAGCTAAGGGGAAGAGGAATGAATTCTTGTCTCAGTGACAAAGGTAGAGTTGGTATGGAACTGAGCAATGATAAATAAATTTTAAAAAATATCTGCTGGCTAATTTGATGGGAATTTGAAAATGAATTCAGAAAACATATCCCCATATTTAATAACGGTCAATTTGGCCTGACATTTAACTATTCTCCCTGAGAATAAATTCTTTATTCTTTTCTTCAAAGATCAGGTTGAGTAGTTCAACTCAATGAAGAGACAGTTCAGTATCCTAAAGGAAATAGTTAAACTAAAAGCCTTTGATATACTGAAAAGGGACAGATAAATACTGAATACTGTCTCCAGAGGAGAAAAGGCAGCCTGGGCTACACAAGTGCAGAGAATGAAACATTTAAGTCATGGGAGCACTTGCTGTTTTCTAGCTGTCACATAATGTCAGTTCTAAGCATTCTGTTGATAACTGTGATAATTTATATAGAATTATAATTAGTCTATCTGATTATGTAATCTAATTCTTCTCCGCTTCCCTGCATTATCACAGATTGACAACTGAGCTGCTAGAGATAACTCCCTTCCTTCCTTCCTTCCTTCCTTCCTGCTTTCCTGCCTTCCTTCCTATCTTCCTGCTTAAAGCCACTCTTGCTTAGAAAAGGAAAGCATTAACATTTTTAGCTTGATAGAGTCCAGTTCTGTGTCTTGCCACAATAAAATGGTCTGAGAGAAAAAAAAAAGAAAGATAGCATAAAAACTCTATTGTTAATAAAAAAAAAAAAGAAAATTGAGAAGAAATTCTGGACATATTTTTCAGTTTCTGGATCATAGTAAGCCAAGTAATGATATCACTTCCAATGTTGTCAATTAGAAATGTCTGGGTTTTAAACCAAACATATTGGTTTGATGGAAAAATGGTGTAAATAGGCATGGAACAGGGTGTAGGTTTCCATGGTATATGGCAGTCTTCAGAAGCTGACTGCAGTAAATCAGAAGGCTTGACTTGTCTTGCATACTTCTCTTACATCAGTATTCCTTCAGTGACTTAAAAAAAAATACTCCAGTGTGAACCTGGTGTGACATTAGTATTTGGTTTTTTTACAGTTAAGAGATTGAACTCATATTCAAGACATGTCTTTCCATCATTAGCAGAATGAATGATTATTCTTGTGTGGGATAACAGCACTTATTTGTTTACTTACTACTGTTATCACTTTCTTTTACTAGCCATCCCAACAGAGGAGATCATATTTGATACCTATCTTAAACAGATGCAAAAGAACCAGTCCTTTTTCTGAAATTATTATAACTGAATTAAAATATATTGATGAAATTAAAAAAAAACATTATCCAGTGAGGTAGCATTTTTAGAAAATTGCTATTTCTGGAACAGTTTTCCTTTACTATTTTTCCCCCAAAGGCTGCATTGCAGAAAATGATACCTGATAGTACTTTCTTTGTTTGAAATAAGTGAACACAAAAGTGATAATCTCAATCTCATCACAGGCTGTAGACCTATTTGTGTTGGAAGCTCTCTTGATCTCTCATGAAACATTGAATTTGCACACAGAGAACTGAAACTTGCTTCAGATAATATTATGACAAAACCCAGCAGTGGGTATTGGGTGAACTAATGTATCTGCTCAGAAAATAGTTTTGAAAGCAGACCTAAACTCTGATGGAATGAATTGTTTAGCATAATTGTTTTTATTAGTTTTTTAAAAAATTACAAGCATCATATTAGTCAGAGGGCAGAAGAACAAAAAATAACCTGGGGAAAGTATTGTTGGGTCATCCTAAAGTTACAACTTTCAGTTATTTCCCAAGATGTGAGATAAATCACAGCCTATTATCTTAAGAAAGCTCTATCTTCCTCTTGACTATAGTGATAATTTCAACCATACGCCACAGCTTAAAAGAGGCGCTGACCAACTAACACTTCATAATTACCTTTCTGGCATTTAAACAAGCTGTAGAAAAACCATATGCCTGACCATATTTAAAAAGCTATATAAGGGTATTAAAGTTTTCTACAGTCATCAAAGTAAGTCTCCATTTGACTTTTGAAACAACTTACAAGATCTGTTCAAACATAAATGACTCATGGAAGGCCATTTCACAAAAATAATAATGAAAAAAACCCCTCACAACATATGGATCAGGAGAAGGGAGTAATCCTATCACTCCCTAAAAAGGAAACCTGAGTTACAAGACAGGAGGATGAAATGAAATAAGTGCCTCAATTGCCTAGATATTAAGAGTGCACTTTGAGAGCATTATAAGCACATCTGGTGGTAGGATGGCTCTATTATGGTATTGTAAGAATTCCAGCAGTATAGGTACATATAATTCCTGCTCCATCTCCTATAGAGTGCACTCACAATCCGTGCTCGGCCAGCAGTTAATAATTTTCAGCTGGCAGGCCTCTATTATATTTTGAAGAGCCAGTTAGACTAAAAACTATCTTAGCTCCCTAGATATTTGTAACCTTAACAAGCACATTCTTGGCTTTTTTGTGCATCCAGATAAACTTGGAGAATGTTCCATGCAAACTTTTTAATATCTCGCTGTGGGATGAGGAGAGGAAGCAGCTGCAGTGGGGTATCAGAGGCGTGGCAAAATGGACATTTTTATGGAGTTGGTCCTGCCAAATATAGAAAGAGTAGGAGATCTTTCCACCTCACAAGATCTTTTTGCATGGAGCTAATCAAAAGAGTAATGTTGCAGTTCTGCAGGCTAGCTAAGGTTACCGGAATAAACAGTCCAAATATGTAATGCTTCTGTTTGCCAAGAGAAATGGAAAATCCCACCTAGTCAGATTAAATTCTGCTGATGGCAATAAGGTTGCTTTCTTCTTAACGTTAATTTCCAATACCTCTCCAGAAGTCACCAGTCATTTATAGAAGGCCTGAAGCCATTGATTTTGCATAGACAAAGGGCAAAATTTTATCAAAATCAAGAGTGCTTTTACATCCTTGTTTGGCTTCCACATATGTGGTACTAACATGAGATGAGTGACAAAGGAAGATGCTTTGTAATGCCTTTTTCTACCAGAAAGAGAAGCAAGTAGCATTAGTATTTAAATGTATTTGGGCAATGTTGGTACAGTACCATAATCCACACTGTAGCATTACATTGTTATGACTATACAAATAATAAATGAAATTTTCCATTAGAAAAGTTTCCTCCAGACCCAGTTACCTCAATCGTTCATCACAAGTGACTTCATTAAAATCCTTTTCAGCATCACAGAGCTCAGGGGAGGCTAATCACTACGCTTTTTAGACCTGACTAGTAAAGGTAAGAGTAGCACCCCTTAGTCACCCAGGTCAGAAACTAGGGAGTTCAATGTTCCTCAATTAGGTGTTCTGAACCACCTGTGGAAGAGTAAATGTCTCTCCATGCATCACACAGCATGAATAGTTTCCTACTTTAGGAAGCTAGATTTCTAAGGTTAGGTGGTGAAATTATTCCCCTGTATACTTTCAAACAAAATCAAACAATGGATTGATTGGACAAGCTTGACCTATCTGTCTGATTTATTGTGCTGTCACATCTTCTCTGAAAGGCAGCTGCTCATTCCAAGCTTCCATGTGTTAAGCACTCTCTACACACACTGTAATAATGAGCCTGTGTGGCTTGAAATCCTTTGGATTGTTTGTTTTATTTAA